CGCGGGGACGTGCAAACAGAGGAACAGCCGAGGCAGAAGGCCGGCGCTTCTGACAGCACGTTTCGGTTTCAGGTCGTAACACAGTCCTACCTTTTTTAGTTGAAAGGTCACCTGCCCCTGTTCATTACGGCTGCTGCGTCCCAGCAGCTGTGTCTCTTCATCTGCAAGTTTGCGGCGACCGCGGGCGGAGCGCTCAGGGGAATCTGTGTTTCCTCCCTTCTCCGCGGCCTCGTGTGTAGTGTCCCTCGTTTCCCTTCCCAGGACACAGAGCGTCTCGCGTGTCTGTGGGGGGCGCCTGTGTTTGTGACCCACGCAGGTTACATGGCGTGGAGCCTGGCTCACCCCAAGGAAAGGAGGGGGGGCGGGGAGCCCTAGCCTCAGGTCGGGGGATACTGTGCCTCTCAGCATTCGGGGTCCCCTCACCCACGTGATGGAACCTAGATTTGGGGGCACAGGTCTGTTCACGGAGAGGCAGCTGGGGAGAAGAGCCCTTCCCGCCCCGTCCACCCCCGCCTGCCATTCACCAGCTCCGTCTGCCACGTCCGTCCAATTCCACTTGAAGGGTGGGCCGGCGGCAACAATGCGGCCCAGCCATGTGGAACCGGCCTGGGAGGGCCGCCTCCAGGCTCTTTCTGAGGCTGGTCACCCCTCACTCTGTTCCTGACCCGCTCCCCTCTGCCCGGGGGGCGTGCGATGTGAAATCCCCTGACCTGGGGCCCAGACCAGGGTCTCGGGAGAGATCAAAGGGCAGGGCGGCCCCTCGCCAGCCGAGGTGGGCCTTTCCCAGGCCGCCGCGGGGAGCGGCCGCCCACGCTTTGTTCTGGCCCGGGCTCGGGGGCCTGTGTTGCCGGGCCACCTTTGTCTGGCCTGAGAAGCTGGGGGCCTGCGCTGCTGGCCCCGCGTCCATCAGATGATCAAAGGCCCCGGGCCTGGACACCCACCCTTTCTTCCCGTTTCCTTTTCTTGAAAGGGGTGAATTGCACGAGGACCAAAGAATGGCTGTCCGAAGTGCCCCTGCACGGGTGTGAGCCCCGCCGACTGAGCTGGCCCGGCCGCGGCCACTGCCTCGGAGCCATGGCTGTTCACACAGGCTTTCAGGGATTAAGGCGTTCGGTGCCACTTTGGGGCCTTTGAGAACAAACCAGGGGTAATTTCAGTTCTTTCTGCACCGCCTGGTCTATTTGCAAGCAGACAGTGATGCAGCGTGGAGTCTGAGCGGTCGGGGGGCCTGGCCCTCTGCGCCAGGCTTGTGGTGGGAAAGTAGGTGTCGACCTGTAACATTCTTCTGCACATTCTTCCTGTGGCTGCAGACATGCTTCTAGCTCGCCGTTCACACTCCGGGTCAGAGTCAGTGTTTGGAAGCCCGCACCTCTCTCGCTGAGGGCCCTGGCTCAAACACAGCGACACTGCCTTTGCAGCCGGGACACTGTGCGAGCTTGTGCCTTTTACATTTCATCCGTGACAGCAGTCTGCCCAGGGTTTTCCATTTTTCATCACAGCTTTTAAGGGAACGGGGAGTGCCGGGTGGACGGCGGGCTTCCCGGGGACCCAGCAGATGCGGTCCCCGGGGGCGGTGGCGGAAACCCCACCTCTGCGAAGCAGCAGTCCTGCCCGAGCCTCCTGGCGCTGAGCCGCCACCAGCCCCGACTGTCCTGGGAGGCCGCCCCCTCGTTTGGCAGGAGCCGTGGGACTGGAATTTCTTTCATGACTGTCCCACCGGGCCGGGTGGGCAGGCGTGCCGGGAACCGCCTCTTACGCTCAGGCTGGCTGGGAGTTTGTTCCTGAGGGGCCGCAGCACAGTGTGAGTGCAGGCCCAGCGCCCGCATGGCCATCGGTCCAGCACCCGGCTTCCATCCTCAGCAAGCCGACCTGTCCTCCTGTCACACGGTGCCGTCAGGGAGCATGTCCCCGCAGGAGGGGGTGCATAGCTCCATTCTGCCTTGGGTCCCTGTGGATCCGACGACCGCAGGGCCTCACAGGAGTGGAACCACACATCACCCGTCCTTCTGTGCCTGGCTTACGTCACCGAGCATCACGTCCTCGAGGTCCATCCGTGTTGCCACAGGCGTCAGGATCCCTTCCTTGTTGGTGCTGAACGACATCCCGTCGCACGTGTGGACCATATTTCACTTATCCCTCTGTCGATGGATGGACGGATAAGGTGCATTGCTTCCAGCTTTCAACTGTGGAAATAATGGTGCTGTGACCACGGGTGTGCAGGTATCTCTGAGTTTCTACTTCCGATTTTCCAGGGTCATGGGTGTTCCTAGAGCAGAACTGCTGGATCACGTGGTGGTCCTGTGTTCAGTTTTCGAGGAGCCTCCAGACCGTCTCTCACAGTAGCTGCCCCATTGTACACGCCCGCCAGCAGCGCTCCAGCTTGTCGCCCCACAGCCGCTGCGGCACGTGTGGTTCTCTGGGTTTGGGTAGTAGCCCTTGCGGGTGTGGGGCAGCGTCTCACTGTGGTTTAGGATTGCATTTTCTTAAAGACGAGAGGTGTTGAGCTTCTTTTCCTGTGTTTGTGGACCGTTGGATGTTTCCTTTGGAGAAGGGTCTGTTCAGGCTCTTTGCCCATTTTTTAATCGAGCTGTTTGTTTGCTGTCATTGAGTGGAAGGAGTTCTTTAAATATTGGGACTATCAGACCCTTTTCAGAGGTGTGACTTGCAAATATTTTCTCCCATCCGGGGAGAGGTAATATTTCATTGGCTCACTGAACCTTTGAAAGCCAGCACTACCCCGGACCTGACTAGCCACACGTGGCAGCTTCCGTGAGTTAAGGTTGAAACACCAGCCACGTGCCCTGTGCCCTGGAGCCGCAGGTGCGCACGGGCTGCCAGATGGGCAGTGCAGGTGGAGAGCACATCCAAGGCAGGAAGTTGCACTGGGTGCTCCGCTCGAGGGAACAGAGGTGAAGGTGTGCCCAGGCCTCTGCCTCTAGACCAGTGTCCCCGCCCGGTTCTGTCCCCATCTCTTCTGCACCTGGTGGTCAGTGGGATGTCTCAAAGAGAAAGGCCCCAGGAGCCCCCTCTTCCCCCCGCTCTCACATCATCATCATCATCATCATCATCATCTCGGGGCCTCGCGGCTCTTTCCTGCAGGACGCAGGTCCTGGCACGGGTCTGGGTGTGGCACGTGCACTCTGGCCCCCAGCCCCTTTCTCCTCCCGCAGGTCCTGCTGTCCATCTTGGCTGCCACCTCAGTCCCGTACCTCCTCTGGCAGATCTTAGACTAGGCCACGGAAGCACTATTTCTACCGGGTATTTACTGGGCACCTTGTCTGGGTGTCGGGACCACATGGCCAACAAGACAGGGAAAGTCCTGTCCTCCTGGGGTTTACACTCTGTGCAGAGAAACAGACCGTGTCTGCAGCTGGTAGCTTGTGGGGTGGCGTGCACCATGGGGGCCCTGGGGGCGCCAGGGTCTGGGGTGTGTTTGCCCCCACCAGGCACACCATGTAGATCGTAGACCGTTTGCCAAAGGGGACCTGGCAGCTCATTTACTCCAACACTTGGCTCCGTGAGGCAGAGACCCAAACATGTCGTCTCCTGGTGAAACGGGGGTACGTCATCCAAGCCCCTCTGCCCTCCTGAACCTTGCCGGATCCTTCACGGCTCAGTGGGCCCCCTGCAGTCACACGTCGCGGGGCAGCCCACACGCCGCCGGCTCGTAAGGCCTGCAGCCGAGGCCCCGGGCACGTCCAGGCTCACCAGCGGCACCCTGTCGTGGGGTGGCGCCGTGATGCCGTCCGCGCCCCCATCAAGGCGTCACTGCATCTGTGCCTCATTCGCGCTCCGCGCCTGCAGTGCCTGCTTTCACGGGGCAGCGGGGACCGTGGTCTGAGCAGGGTGCTCGGGAGACACTCGGCCCTCGGGATGGTCACGGCCTGCACTCCATCCACAGGCGTCCCTTCCTAGCGCCCTCCTTGTGTGGCCGAGTGCCTGTGGGCACAGGTCCAGCTCTCAGCTCGATGCCGCCAGGAGTCCCAGCACGTGACAGAAAACTACCAGCACACGGCTCTGCGTTCCCCGCTCTCCCGGAGTACTGACGGACAGTGAATTTAAAGAGGCGGTACAGGGGCCTACTGTGCTTAACTCGTATTTTTTATAGATTTGGAGGCATCCCAGTTTCTCCTGTAAAGTGACTTTGCATTTGTTCTTCAAAAAAGCATGAAAAACGCCTCTTGTGTCCGGGTCCTGATACACTTGATTTTTCTGATTTTCAAGTGATTAGAAGGCCCATTTGTCTCCTTGGATCCCAGTGAAACCTTGCGGAGAGATTCTAATTTAATCCAGAAAGCCAGCAAAAAACCTTCCTGGTTGCAATTCTGATAAATCCTGAGTTGACCGAGAGCATCCAGAGACACGAAGGGAACCCTGTCGGGCACAGGCGACCAGGACCATGTGTGCGCGTGCCCCTGCGTGTGCCCCTGTGCACAGACACCGCGCGGGCTTAAGGCCTGGGGGAGGCACTGACCCCCGGAGGCTGGACCAGGGCAGCTCTCTGACTGGTGCCCCGGAGCCTCCCTGACTCACGGTCACTTGACTCAAGGCTCAGTCGTCCTGTTGACCCAGAGAGAGCTCTGGCTGTGAATCCGCCCGGCCCGATGTGGGGGAGGTTCTGCCCATGAGGGTGTGGATTCCGCCCACCCCTGCCCTTCACGTCCAGCCCTCCCGTCCAGAACGGAGCTCCACCGAAGACAGCAGACTCCCAGCGCCAGCGGCCAAACAGCTCCGCCCTCCTGGGCGTGGGAGGGGTTCTACTCCGTTCTCAGATTCGTAATTGTCACCGTTTTTCCCTTTGTCCTTCGAGTGTCTTTAGATAGAAGCAGAGCATCTCCTCTTTTCTTCCCAGGGGTGGAATCGAGGCCGTTTCCTCCTGCAAAATAAAGGCCTTTCTCTCTCGTGCACCTGGCACGTAACGTCCTTTTCACACCGAAGGAAAAAGGAAACTTGGAACCCCTGCAATTTGCAAGATCTCCTGGGTAAAAAGTCTGCAACAAAACATGTTTCTGTCTATTGCTTGATGGTTACTGGGCGTCGGCTAAAGAGAGAGTGGAGAGCCTGGCGAGGACCGTCTTCCTGGCCGTGGCCGCGGTCCCCGGGCAGGAGGTGGCGCCCCCGCCACCCGGCGAATCCAGGACTCCCTCAGCCAGCCAGCCAGCCCAGGAGAGATCAGAGCAGACCTTGTAAAGAGGCACATATGCTTGGCTTTCTTTCGCTTCAAATTGCTTCTCACATCGTACAGAACAGTTGCGATATTTCAATACCAGCGTTCTTTTCACGTTTCTTGTTTAACGGTTAATACTTTTGAATCTAAAGCTAAAAAGCCTCTGTTGTCTTAAGAGTGTCTCACCAGTATGTGACCTTGGAAACCCATGACCCCTGAGCGTGTTTGGAAACCACGGCCAGGGTGCTCGGGTGTGCTGAGCGGGTACGGGGTGCACCGGGCCGTCCCCTCTCGGGACACCAGCCGCACAGGCTGCCTCCATCCCGGACATCTGTTCATGGACTCACCAGCTTTCACCAAGCCCAGAATGATGCACGTAGGTACGCATTCCTCTCCCATCAGCACAGTGCTGACACTTCGCGGCCACCTCTCCCCGGGGTCACGCCCCGCGCATCCCGGCCTGGGCTGCGAGGGCTGTCCTGCTGCCCTCTGCCCTCTGGCCTCTGGCTTTGGTTTGCCTGTTAAATTGATTCTTCTACATTCCACGTGCCCTTCGACCTGAGCGCCGCACCCAAGCTGCCTGTCCACCTGGAACTTGACATCTTTTTGGTAAAATGGGATTTTCAAAGAGAGGATTCCATTTTAAATACGCTAGAGGGGAGGTTCCGGATCTTGGGGGATTTAAATAAATCCTTTTACCTTCAGTAAAGCCTTTTATAAAGTGACGGAGGACGCGTACCCCTCCCCCTCCCTCCCAACCCCGAGACTCCATTTTATAAACGGATCGTGTGTTTCACGTTCCACGAGGTCGAGGTTGCTGTGAGGCTCAGGGTGGCTGAAGGGGGCGCAGCACCATGCCTCCCCCACAGAAGAGACCGCGCGCGTGCGTTCTGTGAAAACTGCTGCCTCTGCACACGCTTCAGATAATTAATTATTCGTAACCCGAGCACGCAGGGAGAGGTTAGTCGTCCGCATCCGACAGTTGGTTCACGTGATAAATCCGGTGCTTCTCTGTTTTCAGGGCTGTACGTTTTTTAAGCATTAATTTGATTTCCTCCACCGTTCAGTCTTGGCTTCAGGCATTCTGAGATGCCATCCCTGCGGCGTCTCAGGTTTAAGTGCCTTGTCCAGGGAAAACCTAATGAGACTTCCTCCCTTTTTTCCCGCTTCCCTCACAACGGACGTCCGAAGTCACACGGCAGTGAAACGAGAGCCACGTGTCCGTAGCACCCGACCCCAGGGTCCCGCTAGCAGGACCACCTCCCCGCGTGGCTGCCCTTCCAGGCCCAGCGCCGGGAGCGGCCGTGGCCCCAGGCAGGACCCCACACAGTCATCCCGGGCCCCCGAGGAAGGACCAGGGGTGTTTGGGACTCGACTGCTGGTTGTGGAGTTCAGACTTGCCCTTCAGAGGAAAACGGCCGTTGAGTTTTTAAGCCAGTTTCAGAGACTGAGAAACCGGGCCGTGAACAAGGTTAAAAAGACAGGGTCTTCAGGTGCGTATCCCACAGGGACCCCCAGTACTTCATTTGGAAGGTCTAGGCTCTTCGCCGTCCGGTGGCTCAGACGCCCCACTGCACGCCCCGTCCTCCTGGGGCCCACGGAGCAGTGGGGCCCCCGGCTGGGGGGCAGGGCGGCTCCGAGGGAGGGCTCTGGCCGCAGGATCCGCAGAGTCGGGTTCGCTGAGCACCTAACGCGTTCCACGCGTCGTGGAGTAAACACGCCGCCGCTGGGTCCTCACGAGCGAGCTCCGCACCCACCCGGGACCTCCCGTGGGGCAGTCTGCGCCCCGCCCACAGCTGGGCAGCGTCACACGTGAAATTAAATGGCAGCAAAAGCACTGTCACCACGTCTCGGCCTGGACAAGGGTCGCGGGGTCCCCGACGGCTGAGCTGCCCAGGGCGTCTGCTGTTCCCAAAGCGAGATTCTTCCCCTTCCTAGAAAGGCTCTGACTGAACAGCCGGGGGCACCAGGCGATGCCCTGCACAGGAGGACACGTTCGCTGTCTGGAAGCGCAGCGGGCTGAGATCTGTGGAGCCCAGGCTGACCCACAGCCTCCGGGCGCTAAGGGCCGAGCAGGGTCAGCCCAGACCCTGGTCTCCAGCCTGAGCGACTTCTTGCCAGATTCTCCCGTTTCCCCTTCTGCAAATGCAACATGGTGTTGGGACGTATTTCCCCCAGGCCCTCCCCACCGTCTGCCTTCCTTCCCGGCCGCCAGCCGCCCACAAGAGTTTGCAGTCCCCCCCGTTTCCCTCCCACTCTCACCCGCACATCCCCACGGCACCTCCCAAAGTCTGTCTCAGCCTGCTGCTTGAAACACGGCGCTGGCTGCTCAGCGGACACCCAGCGAAGCCACAGCCCCGGGATGAAGCTCAGGACAGTGCGGGGCGTGGCCTCCAAGGTGTAAGGCTCCCCCCACCCCTCCTCGGCTGACAGCTGAGGCAGCAGTGTGTGCGCTGGGGCGAGAGGGAGGGGTGGAGCACTTCTGATGGCCTGGCTGGGTCTGTCTTCCACACCCGGGCCCAATGAGTGCGGCCACCTGCTCTGTGTGACCGGGACAAGCCTTCACCCTGGGCGAGCCTCGGCGTCCTCTACCCAGGGCGCTAACAGGTCTGGTGCTGAGAGAGGAAGTTCTGCACACGACGTGCACCTGCTTGGGGTCTGGCATGTGGGTCTCTGCCGCCTGCAGAGGTGCCGCCCCTCCCAGGCCCGGCAGCGTTCAGCATCATGGTGCTGCGGAGGGAGGAGCTCCCCTCTGCACCATAAGACACTGGGGAGCCTGTCCTGTTCACTGTCCATCCACCAGGGGACCCAGCAAAATGGAAAACCAAGAATCCATGTGGAATTCACGATAAAGGAACATTTTAAAACTCAGGTAGCGTTATGTCCCTGGCTCCTGATCACGTGACGTCTGGTGGGCACCCCTGTAGGGGGGGCTCCCGACCACACGACTGACCTGTGGACACGGCGGGCGTCCTCGCATTTTCTGTGCGTTAGGAGCGCTGGCTTCTGAGAGGAGGGAGCTCTGCGCTTACGGCCAACGTTGAGATGTGTGAGGTTTGTCAGCCTCATTTTTCATTTCCCTAATTAAAAGTTCTAGGCAATAAAAATTGAAGCTCTTACACTGCTTTCTGTGGTTTAAAACATTCTTTAAAATGCCACCAAAAACAAAATGCAAAATGAGGAACGCCCTAGACTCTAATGGCGTTGGCGAGCTGGCGGCGAATCTCTGACAGGCGCCTGATAATGCTTTTCCAGCCCAGCTTTCTCGAGTTCGTGCTGACAAGCCTGGGCTTGTGTTTCCGCGTGCTCGCTGAAACCGCCACTGCCGGCCGGCCTGCTGAGGGCTGGCAGGGGTCATTTCCAGGTGGCCTCTAGCCCAGAGGGACCCTGGCATCAGGAGAGGGACAGCCTGGGAGCGCCCGCGGACTGCCTTGCGTCGGAACTCAGCCCAGTTTGTGTTTGTTGCAGGTGCTAAGGAGATCGACATTGCGGCGACGCTGGAGCACCTGAGGGACCAGAGACCAGGCATGGTCCAGACCAAGGTACTGTGGCCGGTCCCTGGGGCAGCAGGGGCTTTGGCGGTGTCCTTCTGTGCTGGTTTTCCCGGAGGAGCGAGGGTTGGGCCCGCTGGCCACCCGCCGCCCCAGTCCTGGGCAGGGCAGGACGCGGCCAGCCCTTCCCGGGAGGGTCTTGGGCATTTCTGGCAGCGTCTCCGACATCCCAGCGTAAGAAAGTGCAGTCAGATCTCAAGTTCCTGGATCTCCCCACTTACCAGATTCGGGAGCAGGGGGAGAACGTGGCATTTTTATAGAAACAGGTCCGTGGTGAACCTCAGCACCTTCGCGTGGAATGTTCCGCACTCACGAAACATCCTGTGCCGCCTGCCGTGTTTCCAGCCCCCACGGCCCCGGCTCCGCTGTGCGGTCATCACAAGTCCCCAGGGTGCCCGGGGTCCTGAGCGCCGCTCGTGTGCGTACTTACTGAAAAGACCAAGTTTGCAAAAGACGAAAGATTATAGTTAACCTGGGCTTGACCAGAGCTAGGAACGGGGGAACAGGACGGGCCGGTCCTGTAGCGTGCCGGGAATGTCCCCACCCAGCAGCGGAAGCTCCCGCTGGCGCTGAAGCCGTGAAACACAGAGTTTTCTCTCAGCGTAGTCCCAACCTTCCCGATGCGATTAGCGCCTGCACAGAAGGCCTAAAATCACTACGGCTGCTCGTGCAGAGTCACTGCTTTATACGTAAGGGGACTGTAAGTTGTAAGAAGCACTCCGGTGAGGTCAAGCTGGATCGGGCTCTGGTGCCCGGGGGCGACTATTCTGGGACCCCAGCCCAGTCGTCCCGCCCTGGTGGGGTCTTACTGTCCCCCACAGAGTGCACACAGTTCCTAAGCCCTCGGTCTGGCTCTCACAGGAGGAAAAACAGCGCAGCGCTGGGTCTCAGCTCGACGGGGGCACGTGGGCTGAGCGGGAAGAGGCCACGAGCCTGGACGGCTGGGCAGCACACTTGGGCCCTGACACACACGGGCTCATCTCTCACGATCCCTGAACATGGTCATTTGCCTGGTGCTACATTGCCAAAGCCAGCCCCGAGCACTGAGGCAGGAGTAACTTCGTTCTCGCTTGTAGACTCACAGGACTGTTCTAAGTAGAACCCAAGGAAGCGCTTAGGGTCTCTGCCCAGCCACGCCGTGTCCAGTGGGTGGTCACACCTGCCCTGGTCTCTGCCTGCACTGGGGGGAGGTTGGAAGCAGCTCGGTGACACAAGCATGGAGACTCCCCTCTGTCCCTCTGCTTCATTTGGGCCCCGTAACGTGCAGGAACCTGGTGTGGAGCGTGACTACTACACGAAGGTGCTCTGTAGGTCAACGCACACTTCATGTTTGCTTAGACATTTTTAAATTTGCAGTTATTTTAAGCAAAAAGCTTGCAGAAATAATGCAAATAATCCCCATGTACGCACGGCCAGCTCCCCAAGGTTAACACCTGACGTGACCACAGGGGCCAGCCGCGGCCAGGGGGTTGGCGGTGATTCAGTGCCACCAGCTCCCACGCAGACCTTCACATCTCACCCGCCGGCCCCCAGGACCTTCCCCTGCAGCTGGCCCTCAGGCCCACCCCGCAGTGCGCTCAGCGGTCATGTCTCCGTCACCTCCGTTAGTGGCCAGCGTGTGGCCGTGAGGACTGGCAGGTCTGGTTGGGCTCCTGTGGGCTGTCTCTGGCGTGGCTGTGTCTGTGTTCCCGTGGTGGGTTCTGGGGTTGCTTCTCAGCCTCGGTGTGTGTCCTCACCCCAGAGGCACGCCCCCCCAGGGTTCCCTGCTGGTCACTGTTTCTGCCTTTGCCGTTGGTCGTGTCCCGAGCAGAAGCTGAACCCTGCTCGCATCTGTCTGCCGTCAAGCTGTGTCCTGACACGAGGCCGCTGCGAGAGGAGTGACGCTGCTGGTGCCAAGCAGTCCATGGGTTTAGTGCCGTGGGAGGTCCGTCCCGCAGGCCTGACCGTGTCCTGGGGGCTGGGCTGGTCATCCAGAAATGCAGGGTCAGTCCAGTGTCCCTGGTGGTCTGGGCCCTGCGTGGCCATGGGAGCCTCGGAACGTCACACGGCTCAGAACTGGGGCTGGGAGAGCAAGGACCCCTCGTACCCAGGAGTGAAAAGCTAATTTAGTCTCCGGCCGAATCTTCCTTTGCCGTGGCCCAGCTACCTGCCGCGTGGGTAACACACAGATCTCGAATCCAAACCTGTCTCTTCCCTCCTTGCGCCTGGCACCTCCCAGGCAGGCCTCTCCCGCCCACGGAGGACACAAGGACGTTCAGATCGGACCGACTCCGGGATGGGTCCAGGCACGGCCATCGGAAAGGTGTATCTTCTCACCAAAGCAGGAAAAACCAAGTCTCATACTCTCAACACCGTTCAGCCCTCTGTGGTCTGCAGCCTGTTTGCCGCAAAGCCCACGGGCATGGCTCCCCGGGCCAGCCTGAGCGGAAGGGGGGGCTGTCCTCGTGATTGTCACGCCTCGTATGGTCACAGACCCCAGTTTCTTTAAGCGACCGAGTAGCAAAATGTGCACGTCTTATCGGCCAGAGTGTTTGGTCCCAGGGTCTGATGCTGCCAGAGGGCAGAGCCTGGCTGGCCCCACACGTGACCTCCGGTCTGGATGACTGTCTGCCGGCTCCCACCCTCCTCCAGGGGCGCAGGTCAGAGGTGTGTCCTGCAGAGCGGACAGCAGGTCGGCTCCAGAACCTCAGGTGTAAAGAACAGTAAACAGAAAACCCCAGACCTGTCTTAATTGACGGCTGCTCTGCCCACTGTCCCTCCACAAACTGAACTTCCCCCTAACGTTCAGTTGAACAGGAAGAGACAGTTCCCTGGGACAGTGTCGTGCCGCACCGGCTGAACACGCTTCCACGCCAGCCGAGGGAAGGTCGTCCACGGTCACGTCGCGTCATTTGAGTTGAATGCAGTCAGAATGATAAACTGTGACTCGCTGAAACTGGGGCCTGGGACGGCCTCAGAGCCCCTCATGCCCAGCCTGGCAGCAGAACTTCATCTCATGTTCAGAAAAAGCTGCAGAGAGCAGTTCTCCACCTGGAAACAAACTTGTGGTCAGACAAACCCCAGAAGCCTCAGGGATGGCTGCCTCCTGGAGATGCGGGGGGCGGGCCGGCCCCGGGAGTGGGGCGGCGGTACGAGGGTCAGAGCCAAAAAGACACCAGCAGAGAAAGGCGTCACGTGGGGCGTAACATTGTCCACACGACCCTGTCGCTGTACATCCGCACCAGCACGCGAAACGCTTATTTTTAGGAAGAGAGATGAAATCACAGGATGTGGTGAGAATAACACACTTCAAACGAGCAGTCCGTCTCGTCTCTACCATGTGTGTCTTTGAGCAGATTCCTTCCTGCCTTGGCCTCGAGTCCGTCTTCTGAAAGGTGCCTTTTTAACCAAAGGCCTTAACACTTGCTTCTCCAGAAGCACTAAATCGTCACTTAGGTGTGAAAGCCTTTTGACCGCTGTGTTCAACCACCTGCAGGCAATGATGCCGCGTGTGCCCGCCTGGAATTCGCCCCGGTGTATGCAGGTGGCGGGCGGCGCACCGCCCCCAGCCTGTCCCGTTTCTGCACTGAGACTTCACCCTTTCTGTGACCTACTTCTCCGTGTATCCCTCCCACCCTAAGCCCCCTTCTTCCTGGAGATACAGGCATTTTCACGGGGCCTGGATGAACAACACGGGTTGAAGTGAGTGTAATTCCGGGTCGAATCCCCCGACCACCCCGACCAGCGTCCCCGCTCCACCAGGACCCTCCCCACGCAGCCGAAAGTCTTCCGTCTCTCCGTCCTCTTGCTCCGTCTCTGTTTCCGTCTCCCCTCTGTGCACACACACAGACACACGTGCACGCCTGCACGCCGTGCCTGGGCCCTGTCCCTGCTCTGCTGCCCGAGGTCGGGTGGAGCCAGGGGCTGGCATCTGAGCGCAAGGCGGGGTTCCGTCCTGACCCCTTCAAGGGAGGTGCTGGGAGCACAGCCTGGAGGGGGTTTCTTGAGCCCCGTAGAGGTGCCGTTCCCTGGGCCCTGCCATCAGGGCTGATGAAGGGAGATTAGTGCACTCAGTTCCTATAAACCCACCAGTCCTCGTGTGAGCCGGAGGATGGCAGATTCAAATCTGAGACGAACTACAAATCCAAACACACGCGAGCAGCCCCACCCCCGCCCCACGGCCTCTCCACCTGGCCCCCCAACTCTGCGTGGAAGGCTCAGAGAGGCCCGGCGACTTGCCCAGGGCCACGCAGCTTCCATGCAGAGCTGAGCCCCAGCCCACCTCTCCTGCCACTCAGTCCGGGCCTTTTAAATGCACAGGGTCTCGGACCGGGCAGTCAGGACAGGCCCCTCCTGTGGCCGACGTGAAGCCGCGACATTTGAGACCCCACAGCCGGAGTCGCTCCGTCCCTTCCTCAGTTCATGTTGACCTGTGAGGTGAGGGACCGAGCCCCAGGGCCGGGCAGTCTGCCCGCTGCCCGTCCAGCAGCTGGCCCAGCTGGCACACGCGTCCTCCAGCCATCACGGCCGGCCGGTAGGGGCCGTTCCCACTCGCTGTCCCTGTCCTGGGTGGGCTCAGGGCAGGGACAGACACTCCTCCAGCCTGAACCCCGCTCCCCTGTCCTGCCTCAGTCACCCCTCACGCCGTGGACCGGGCCCTGCAGGGCCCACGTTTCGCTCAGCACATTTTCTCATTCAGAGCTGTCAGCCCGCTTCCTGACTTCCTGTCTTGGCAAAGCCAGCCGGCTCGGACGTCTTACGTCCAGGAGCTCCGAGCCTTCCTGCTCAGGGAGCCTGTCCTGAGAGTGGGTCTGCGCCAGTGTTGTCTTGTCATTTACTGTGTTTCATTCCTGAAGTGCAGCTTCTGCCTGTTATTCTAATGGTTTCCTTAAAATCCCAAGAGGACTTCAAACGCTGGGGACTTCCCAAGTCCCAGGGTTCCTACACAGATGTCTCAGCCGAGGCGGGGCTCCTCGAAATGCGGGCCTCACACGGTCCCCCGGCCCCGTGACGGGGCGAGCCGCCGGCACCAGAGCTGCCGCCTGGCAGGCACCTTGCGGGTGACGGTGCAGAGCGCCAACGAGCCCGAGGGCGCAGCACCCCTCCCTGCCAAGGCCCTCCATCCGGGACCCCCTCCTCCCAGCTGGGCTGTCGGCGCCCCTCCCGGTTAGAGACCCCAGCTCCGGGAAGCCCGCAGGTCAGCCCCTCGGCCGCACGGTCAGCACGACGCCTGCTTGGCCCTCGTGCCCCTTGCGCTGCGTTGTGCTGTGGACGGAGTGCTTGAGTAACTCCGGTCCAGACACGGGCGCGAGTCTGCCTCTGCGTGTGTCACTTAACATGCGGCCATAAACGTTGGCTTTCTTATTAGACCCTTTTCTGTAAAATAACGGACTCCTCTTTGGCGGTGGGTGCTTTCCGGCATCTCACGGAGTGAGGCCATGGTGCCTGTCCCGTGCTTGTCTGTTTCTCCCTTTAAAGATGAATTCTTAGAACAAATTTCCATAGCAACCACCATGTGATGTGCACAGGCAGATTCCCAGAGGCTCCCTCTCCTCACAAGACCTTGGTCTGCCCGTCGGCAAGTCACCGTCGGGGAGGAAGCCACCTGCGGTGGCCGCCCCTGCCCTGCACGGACCGTTCCTCTGAGCAGACCGTGAGAGACGCGGCGGGAGGCGGCTTCCCGAGGGCGTGTTTGCGCGCGTCCCGGTGACAGCAGGACCGAGCGCCAGCCCCTGGAGGGGAGGGGAGGGACCGTGTCCCTGGGAACTCGGTGCTGGACGGTGCTGGACACACGTGGACATGCCTCCCACAGCCCCAGTCTGGACGCAGTCACTGCAGGCGGCGCCGGAAGGTCTCCGCGAGGGTTTCCAGGACGTCCTTTGGAGGCTGGTGGCCACGAGCAGAGGCTCCACATTGGAACCGAGCAGACCCTCCCTCCAGTGTCAGGCCAAGGGGACACTAGTGAGAAACACTTTTGCCCCAAAGTGAGCGTTCAGTTAGGTTGACTTTCTGCCGTTCTAACGGGAGCTGCTTCTACTTTCTGTGATGTGCTGGCCAAGGTGGAGATTAATCATTCGTGCTCCAGTCCGCTTAGGACTTAAACTGCCAAGTGTTCAAGCCTTGGCAGGGCTTTCCCTGAGCTAAATCCTTGACCAGGTGGGAGTTCACATCACTTATTTTTGTGACTTCCCTGGCGTGATTGGAACGTGCCTGATGAGCTGCTTTCAAGTTTTTGGCACAGAGTTTGGGCGCACAGGGGGCTGGGGGGGGTGGGCTCGCCCTCCGTCTGCTGAGCCCCAGTCTCCTGGGGGTGGACAGTCCATCCCTTCTCCCCAGAAGTCTTGGCAGGTGTCACCTGCACGAGAGGCGTGCCCCATGCCGGGTGCACCTACGTCTGTGGGCACGTGTGTGCGCCCACGTCTTAGGTTGGACGGTGGTGGGTGCCGTGAGGTTTCTGGGCAGACGGAACTGAGCGGGATGGGGCTGGGTGATGGGTGGGTTTCCAGAGCAAGGACAATACCACCCCTTATGTTTCTGGATGGGAAGGATGGGAAGCCCCGAGGGGCGCTGCTGTGACTGTCTCCACGGGCAGTTTAGACGCGCGATGGCGCCGTCCAGCCCCGTCCGTCAGGAGGTCTGCGAGCTCAGGGCTGGAGTCAGAAGGAGCCGAGCAGTCCCGGGAGCCTCGGGCACCGTCTCCCTGCTGGTGTTTCTGTCGGCAGCGCCTCCCAGTGGTAAGAGCTGAGGCTCCCCAGCGTGAGCGGCCGTGGCTCACCCTGCAGACCAGTGCCTCTCTCTCCACGGAAGTCTGCGAGCGTCCCCTTTCTGTTCTGGACGGTTTCTTTCTGCAAAATAGCACTCGGAGCTCAGGGCCCGAGTGAAGGGACACCCGCTTACATCTCCTTCCTTTGTCTCCAGGAGCAGTTCGAGTTCGCGCTGACGGCGGTGGCCGAGGAGGTGAACGCCATTCTGCAAGCCTTTCCCCAGTGAGCACGTTTCCCGGGGCCTCGGAGGAGCCCCGGCCCGGGCACTGCCGCCGTCGGGACCGAGGACGACTCGGCTGTGTCTCCTGGAGCGGCTGCCCGGTGGTCGGCCCTGAGGCTCTGCGGTCTGTGCCGTTCAGCAGTTAAAATGTGTATTTTTGTTCAGCCAGACAGTACTAAACAGAGGTCTGTGGGAACATGCAGTTACGGGGCGGCCGGTTCATCTACTTTCACTCTCTTGGAAAAAAGGTTTATTTTTCCTTAAAGCACACCTTTCATTCCTTGCTGCAAACCCTGTCGTCCTGACGATGCAGTGACCCACGCAGCCAGGACGGCCCCCAGAAGAGAGCTGGCTCGTGATCGGAACTTTCTGAAGGAGCTTCTGCTGTGCGTGGAGAGGCCCAGGGCAGCTGGCCGGGCCCCCGGCCGCAGGCTCTGTCTTCATGACGGTCCCTTGCGGGGAGAAACCAGCAGTTGGGACGTGCGGGCCGGACGCAGCTTGGGGGCAGGCGACAGGAGAACCACCCCCGCGCTTGGTTCAACCCAGGCCACTCGACACCCCCCAGGCACGGCTGACAGCCCCCCTCAACCGCCCACCCCAGGGTGGGCGGGGGCCCCGGAGGACAAGTGCCGTCCCACTGGAGCACCTGCTTCCCGGCCCCCCGCCCCCGAGACGCCTCACCTGGGAGAGGCAGGGGGTGGCTTCCAATCTCCAGACACGGTTTTAACTTATAATAGGGATTTGCACTTTGCAAAATCAAGTGCAGCTAGTGAACGCTCTCCTGCAGGCTGACCCAGTTCAGGGAGGGCTGGGAGGAGCACGTAGTGAGCCCCCGGCAGGCACGTGTGGCCCCTCAAGGGGCGGCGGGCGCCTTGCTGGCATCCAGAGAAGACAGGTTGCTTTCCCCACGGGAGGAACACGGATCACAGCAACTGGAGAAAAGTGACCGCCCTGGGCTCCTGCCAGGGCTCAGACCCCTGGCCCTTAGGTTGCCCACTTGTCTGACATCACGCAGATACCAGCGTCTGGACAGAGTTTGCATTTGCCAAAAAGCACTTGTGCACCAAATTTGCCAGTGGGGGCCCCCAGCAGCAGGAGAGTTTCATTAAGGCGAGGGCGATGATGTGGAGGGAGGTGTGTCTCGGCAATGAAACACGCCCTGGTACCTTGTCCTTCCAGGCTGACAAACCACGCCTTCCGTCTTAACCAGATGTTGCAGCTCAGAGAGCAGCAGACCAGGGAACGTGGCTGGCTGAGTGGGGAGAAAGATGCCAAAACATTGTCTGTGTCTTTAACGGCGTTGTCGTGTAAATCTGCTTTAACATAGCTCTGATTCCTCTCCCAAAGCCGTTTCTCTATCGGGAACCTAATGATTAATAGGAAATAACTTACCTGAATATAGGAGCGTAGACCTGCCTGTGGCTTCTGACATTTTTGTTTCCTCGGTGTGAGACACGTGACTGTATTTAACTGTGTTTGTTTGATTAAACTTCTGATTTCACACTTGAATGGTCTTCATTTGGGAGGCGAGCAGGGTCTTTCCCCGTCCGACCTCCGTTCCTCGAAGGCGGGCGTTCGACCGCAGACGCAAGGTGAGCGCGCGCCGTAGGGCTCTCTGCCAAGGTGCTGCGTTATTCGCAGGGCTGGCTGTTTGCTAAGGGCCAGAGTGTCAGGTGTCACTAAGGTTTTATTCATTAAAAAGTGATTAAACAGTCTCAGTCAAAAGCTGAGGAGTGGTGTGCGCTCTGAGCACGGCCTGTGCCCCGTCCTCGCACCCGGTGAGTGTCCGGGGAACCCCGCGGCGGCCCCCTCCTTCCTGCCCGCGGTGGAGGGGGCGCCCCACCACCTCGCAGAGAGACGGGCCGGCCTCAAAGCTGGCGCTCACGCCAGGAGCATTTGAACCCCGGCGAGGGGCGGCCCTGCTGGGCGTGAGGCGATGGTGTCCCTCTCTTCCTGCTGGCCCATGTCAGCAGGCAGGGGCAAGACTTGGTGGCCTGTGGTGTCCACCAGCGTGTCAGTGTTCATTTCTGCAGAAATCAGCCCCTCCGTCTCACCAGACAGTCGTCCACTCACATTCCAGCAGCTCCGTCTCGCCCAGCACCTCCTGTCCCGAGTTTGCTTCGTGCCAGGATCCTGCCCGGCAGCCGTGAAGCGTCTGCTTTCCGTGTGCCACAAAGTTACTCTCACTGACGTTTCACGTGCGCACATAGCGATAGGTGGCGCGTCTCGTGAGAAACACATGTCAGAATCTGCAGGCGGCAGACTGGGGAGCTGCAAGATTCCCTTCCTTCTGGGAATATTTAGGAACACTGGACCAAAGGCACTTTTAAAATGTAGTGCGTAGCCAGCTCTGAAGACAGAGAAGTAAAGACGGGGGTCGGTGTGGGCAGAGCCGATGCCGAGCCCGGTGCAGGTGCGGCTGGTCCCTGGCGTGTCCACCCGGAGCTCACAGCCCACTCTCTGAAACGATGGACAGAGGCGTGCTTAGTTTGTTACGAGATTTGCACTCAGCCTGCACCAGTGAAAACACACACACGGTCCTCCGCCACGTAGCTCGTGGGTTCTCACAGGAGGCTCGCTCTGGTCTTGGGGGATTCCTGCGTCTGCAGCCAGCCTGCGGCTGCGGCTGGGGAGCAGCTGTGGCCTCGGTGTGGACACGGGTCAGTGTTTCCGCCTCGACAGGGGACGTGGGTCAGGACTTCCCTGGCTCATCCGTGGGGCACGCGTTTCTCTGCCGAGTCAGACGGTGGTTTCCGGGCTCTGGAGGAAGCTGCTGTGTGCTGTTCAGATGTGACGCCCTCGCTTTCAGGGTGAATCAGTATCGTCGGTGTCTCCGCCTCTTCTTACAGTCTGGCCGGCCGACCAACAAAACAAAAACAAAGCCTTGACTTGCCGTGTCTGCTGATTTCTGACGGGAACACACCGCCGTGAAGGGCTTCAGTGTGGACTCGGCAGGTGAAAACGATGAGAGTAAGACAGAGTGAGATCAATCAGGGAGCTGTAAGTTTTGAGTATATATTACCTGTGTATCAATCTGTCAGTTCACACGATTTAATTTTTAATAGTGGCTGTATTAATAACCAGCCCATAAAATTCCTAAAAAATTAGCCATCTGCTCCTGCGAGTGGGCACGAGCCAGCGGAGATGCGCCTCTCCCTCGGGGCCACACAGTGAGGACGGGAGGAGTTTGGAGGGCGGCAGGTGCAGCTGTCCAGCTGGAAGGAGACGGGTGCTGTCTGCCGGGGTGGGTCTGGGTCCCCCACCCACGTGGCGCAGGGAATCCTCCTTGAAAAGCGCTTAGCGTCCGCTCCGCCCCAGCGAAGCCCTGTGGTCCCAGCGCCAGCAGAGGCAATCCGCTCGACGAACCACGTGCAGCCCACAGAGAAGACACCCCAACGAGGACCAGCCGGTGCTGTCCGCGTATTTTGCTGGACGGTGTACACGGATGCGCGCACACTAAGATGCTTTATTTATTTCTTATGAAATTAGCTTCGTACGTGTGAAAAGTGGGTTTGCCCGCGGCCCCGAGCACTCAGCCGTCTCCCCCTTCTCGCTCTCAATTGTGTGCGTGAAGCCATCACACTTGTCCCGCGGGGACTGCCGGCAATATTATATGTAATCTGTGCTGTGTGCTTTATTAATCAAGTAGAACGCTAATAAAAAACCTTCATAATTAGTGGAATAGGCATTAACTCAAAGATGTTTATTGGAATAGAAAATGAGAATTTGATGACACCTTTGTTCCCAAACAATGGCTGATTTTCATTTTATTCTGGATATTTGCTTTGAAGCTGGTCTTAGCCATTTCGGTTGCTCCGTTTATGAGACAAACCATATGGTGGGTGTCGTTTGTCTTCCGAGCTGAGCGCGGCTGGTGAACACTGCCGCGGGTTTCTGGACGGCGCTCTGGGAGCCAGGCCCTCTCTCCCTCCTGGAGCGGGAGCGAGCGGTGCCCCCACGGGGCTGGCACCCTTCCAGGCCGTGTGACTGTTCCCATGTGGCGGGTCAGGCCGTGGTGGACACTCGGTCCAGGGGCTGGGTTGGGGCGGCGCTGCGGGACCGCTCACAGGCACCTGGTGGATCTGAGCCTCGCGGGTTGGCTTCCGGCTCCAAAAGAAGCCTCGTCCCCAGAGAGGCCGTCTCAGGCCGGGGGAGGTCGGTTCTCAGGATGAAGAGAGACAGGATGGAAATGCACGAAGGAGTAGGCGCCTCCGTCCCTCCCACGTCTGTGTCTGAGCCTGACTTCCGCGCCCCCCTGGGCTCGCCCTGCCTCTGCCTGCGCACCTCTGTGTGCGGTCTGCCCGCCTCTCTGTCCCTCTGTCCTGCGTCCGTCTCTCTGTCTTTATCTCGCTCTCTCCTCCCTCCGGGGGCGTCTGCTCTGAAGGAGGAGCATACACAGAAGTCTCATGGCTTGGAATGGCACGGCTTCTAATTCCAAAACGTCTTTTGGAAGCTTCCGCTCTTCCCGGGGCTGGGAGGGGCCAATTCCAGGGCCCAGTGTACTGAGTCGGGGTCTCCCTGGGAGGAGCTGGGAATCTGGGTGTTTAACAAGCGCCAGCAGGAGTGTTCGGCCCGTGGTTTGGAGAGACCCTCGGCCTCGGGCTTAGGCGGGAGCACGGGTGCACAGAGTGCAAGGGGAGAGGACCAGGGCAGCGGTCCTCACTCCGCCTCTTCCCTTCCCTGACCTCCTCTGCTGTGTTCATCTCTGCAAACTGCTCCAAATTCTATTTTGGAACAAGACAGAAAACAAAAACAGCAGCTTGAGGCAACGTCCATCACACAGAGAGCTCATGCCCCAGAGACCACCTGAGCCCCATGTCTGCTGACTGGCCTGAAGGGACCCCTTTGCCCAGAGCGGACCTCGCATCGAAGTCCTGCCCTCAGACCACAAGGGCTGGGGAGTGGAGGTAACTGTCAGACAGACGCGGCTTGAGTCCTTGCTGTGCAGTCCTCAGGGGCCACCCGCCCCACATGGTCTCGTGCAACTCAGTCGTCCCCCTGAAGCCCAGGACTGCATCCTGCCAGCCTCTGTGGCGTCCAGCCACGGTCTCAAACCCAAAGAGGCCATAGCCCGCCCTGGTGGCCCTGCTCTGTCCTCCCATTTCCATGGTGGCAGCTGCAACCTGCAGATGCCCGAGCAGACCAGCGGGGTCATGGTGGCCCCTCTTCCTCTCATGCTTCACACCCCACCCGGGACCCAGCCCCAGCACCCCTGCAGCTCCCCCCCAAACTCAAGCCACCACCCCCTCCCAGATCACCGCTCGGCCTTGACGGTCTTTCTCTGCTGCTGCCTCAGCCCCTGTCAGCTCCGCACAAGGAGGGCGAGGGGCCAGCAAAGCCAGGCATCTCCTCCCCTCCCCTTTCCCTCCTGACCGTCAGGGGAGGGAGTCAGGCAGGGACGTGCCAGGTGGCAGGGCCACAGGGCCCAGAGGGTACTTGGAGACCACACGGAGGCTGGGGTCAGAGGACAGGCGTCTGCATGGGGGGGCCCAGGGAAGGGCGTCCCGGCCGAGTGCGCTTAGAAGCTGCGTCCCTGCACCTGCCACCCTCGCCTGTGCTGTGGACAGACCTGCTTGGGGCAGGGCGGGCCGCACCCGGCCCCAGCCCCCGGCCTCGGAGCCCTGATGTGTGGCAGTGCCGTGACTCAGCCTTAAGCGTCTGCTGTGTCCTGTGAGCAGAGCAACACCTGCCACGTGCAGGGCCCTGGGGGACTTGCTCACCCCGGAGACCGAGCAGCGACGACAGGCGCAGGGGAGACCTGCTCTGTGAATGAACCTGCTCAGCAGGGTGTGCGTCTCAGATTTTAATCTTGTTCTTACTAGGTTGCATAAAAATTCGATTCTTTTTCTTACATTGAAATCA